GGCTTGCACTTCCATTTGTGGTCACTTCTGCATGCCTCTAAATAAAATGTTGATGTTCCTTCTATAGTTAATGGAAAACAAGTATCTTGTTTTGTCCCTGACCAAGTTTACAATTCTTTACTGGGCAGCCAAGATTTCCTTTTGGGGGTCTTCAGGTTTTTTTCCAACAGTTATACAGGGAAGAAAGGCAATTCAGTTGTGGGACATACTCCCTTTTTGCCATTTCCTCAGCAGAAATCGTAAAATGTGCATTCAGATTTATCTCCACAGGAAAGTGGATCATTCCCAGTTTGCAAAGGTCTCACGGTAAAATGTTCTAAAGAAACTATGCATGAATGAATCAACAACCAGACATTCTCACAAAAATTAGGAACATGTTATTTTCTCTCCTGCAGTTAAAGCCAGACCGAGTGATCACAGTGTCATTTTTGCTGTATAGATAAACAATGGGAATGTCTTCCATTGAGAAATGTCTCTAACTGTCTGTGTTTCTGTTTTGCTGCCTGAAAAATGGGATAACAACTATTTCCTCAATTTCATAGTGTTCTTAGAAGCTTGTGGACAAAAGTAGCACTCTCAGCACCACAAGCACAAGCTCATAAGCTACATGCAAAATACCATTCTTGAGAAGCTAGCCATGCAATTAAGTGTTTTTTCAGTACAGTCCTTTTGAGACCTTTGCTCTTGCCTTTCACATTAATATTTATCTTCCAAAGTTGTTCTGTTACCCAACACTGTCCATTGCTCAGCAGGACATTCCCCATAGGCAATGAAAAGGTATCAAAACCAAAATCAGCATCCCCCCAAAATCCCATTTTAATATTCTAAACACAATCCTGAAGGCTGATTGATTTTTTCTTTGTTCCATGCTCTTTCAAACATGACTTTATCAAAAAACTTGGCAAATACATACACCAATAGTATCAGAAACAATATAATAACAGGGATATGACCAAAGCTTATTGCAAAGTGTTTTCCAGGTAATTCGAAAATGGTAGTTCTTATGATGCTTGACAAACTTTAATTTCCCAAACAGAACAGGAAAATAATAAAAAGCATGAACAAAATACTGTCAGGATACAATTTTGCCAGGTAATGTGCTTAGGCTTTGCTGTGATTGTGATTAAATAATACAGAGAGCATTCCATGCAAGGTACTGAGCTAAAACAATTCTTTGAGAGTGACCTTAAAATGAATCTGCTCCTCCACATATCAATGACCTCTTGAGGTCCCTTCTACTTCTATTTTCTTTAATTCCGTGTTCAGTTTACATATGTCTCTACAATATCTTTTGTGACTAGGCATAGCATGTTTGTAGAATGCAAAACATCTTTTTAAATATGCTATACAGTAAATTTACAATGCTGTAAAGACATCTTAAACTATTTTACAACTAATAACTATTGGGAGTCTGTGTATTTGTTGGAGCTTAGTGGGTCTGATTACCTGTCTCTATAGAGCCAAGAGGCTACTGACATCTCTTATTACAGAAGGAAGGCTTTGGGCATGGAAGTTTACATGACTTTTCCATATATTTTTAAACATTTATTTCTTGGAAAAGGCATCATGTAAGGGGATATTTTTAGATCTTATCAAAGGCCTCCAACTATCAATTTTTATGCTTGTTTTTTCTACCCCTTTTTTTGTGTAGTTGCATGGACAGGTGTATCCAGTTTTTCCACTAAGTTCCTCATATTGCAGGATATTTTTTTATATGCATAGCAGCATGCATAATTACATTAAGGTTTTATTCTACCCAATACACAACAAAGGTAAGAAATTAAGAGGAATTCCTCCCAAGCATTTGAATTCTATTTTAGCACTTCAATTCTGCTATAAAAATTAGACATCAATTCCTGTGATAATAAAGATTGGAAAAAGTTTTCAGTCCAAATTTAAGCTAATAAAAATTTACCTACTTATAAAGATTTTCTACAAGAAAGGTGGAACCCTTTATGTACCCTGATGTGTAAAAGAGAAATGCCTTCAAAGAACACTGAGAGCTGGTAAAGTATATTTATTTTTGTTATCCATTCTCATATTCTTATCCACTGTCACAACTGTGGTTATCGCTGCTAGAATTGCTTCATTGAAATAAAAGCTGCAACTAAGAAGACCTGTAGCCCAACTCATTAACAGAGAGAATCTTATTGAAAAAGTACTTTTGTTCTTGGTGAAAGATGAGGACCCAGTTACACAAAATTATAATATATCCTACTTCCACTTTCTGGAAAGAACATATTCATACTCATTAACTTGAAGCTGAAATCAGGCATCAGAAAATATAACATAAATTACAGTCAAGTGCATAAATAAAGGATTTGCAATCAAAACAATTTATAAGCTTCAAAACAAATTTTAGGCTTCATACAGTTGAGCAGATACACTTTCCTACAAAGATGCTCTGTAGGGATCTAAGAGGCATTTGCATTTTCTGACCAGACAGCTGGTGAACTCAAAAATCAGCATTCTGATAGCTTACACCAGTCTGGCCCATGTACCTAGAAGGATTCATGAAGATTTTGATCACCACTGTGTCACAGCTTGGATACATGTGGAATACTGACTAAATCCTGAAGCCCTTACAAGGAGAAAATTTCTACTGATGTTACAGTTTTATCTGATAAGGATTTAAAAATCAGACCAATGACAATATACTATTCTACTAGCCAGAAGTGTGGGCATATAAAACATACATTCAAATATGGCACTTATGCAAATCCTGGAGACACATCTCATTTATCCAGCATGATGCTACAAGGAATGTGAAAAATGGGACTGAATAAAATAGTACATAAGAATTCATCCATTTTTCATGTCTCTGAAACCATAGAAGTATTATTACAACAGTTTCTACTACTGACAACTTGTAAGACAGACTGAAAAGATGTTCAGGCTCTGCATGTTTTCTCTTTTTTCTCTTTGCATTTCATAATACATATCATGAAAATGGAATTAGAAGAACAAAAAGGCGATGGCTTGTTCAGACAAGTTCCTGCAATGTGATGGCATGTTAGGGCATACACTGTTTATCAGCGTTGCTAATGAACTGCAAAGTAGGAAAGCTTTATCTGTGTGCTGCCTGGGCTAATCAAGGGTGATGCTGGAAGAGTCAGGACTGTCTCAGCCCTGAGAAATGCTGAAGCTGCCACCACAGGAGTTACAGCTAAACTCTAGACAACACACTTTCAAGATATCACTCTGCTCTCTCTTAACTCATCTCATTCTGTTAAATATTATAGCTGCAATCATCCTGGGTGAGGACAGGTGATCTACAAACAGTGACTTTGAAAGTTCAGTGACTACTGAAGTGATGGAAAAGTCTTTAAACTCTGGTGCTTGGGAGGTGGGATTGCTGGGAGCTATCACCTCCACAGTGATCAGTTTTCTTAACTAATCCCTGCACTGCCTGGACAAGCTTTTACAATACCTCTAACTATTCAGATGTCTTGCTGGGTACCCTGGGTGTCTTCCCACTCTGACTGCAGAGTTCAGTCCTAATAAGAAATTACGTTCTTGCCTCAGCATATCATGGGCTGCACACACTTTCAGAGTTCAGTCCTAATAAGAAATTACATTCTCGCCTCAGCATATCATGGGCTGCACACACATCAGCAAGGACACAAAGATGACACAGGCCCTGCGTTTCAGCTGATTTACCCAACCCCTAGTGAAACCTGCTGCCCTTTTGAGGTAAAATGTATTTCTGTGTTATGGCACATGTTCAATATACACAGGTACACTACAACTAAAACAAACATGTCCTAAACACATAGGCTGAGATGTTTGACTACAACTTATTCATATTAAGCCTTGCTTGGAGTGGGATGCTGTTGTTCTATGGAAAGTTTTACTATAGTAATAATGACATTGTCTCAATATACAATCTATAATATATCTAAGTACATTGAATAGGTATGATTTCTTGTATAAACCTTCAATGAAATATACTTATCTAACAATGTCACCTTGTATGCTTGTCCGAGTTTGGTAAAAATATATATATGTATCCAGTCTCCCAGTGAACAGGACTCAGTGATTGGCTTTTCACCTCTGTTGCCAGACTTTACTTTCAGATACTGATTATTATGCTCTATTTAGAGAGGACTAATTTCTCATTCCAAGGGAGAACAGAGTTCTGGATAAATTCTTGATGTGCACCCCAAATGCAAGAGAAGTTAACTCCAATGTGTCCCACATTATAACACCCAGACTACAGAAACAGGCTGGGTTACTTCTGTAAATGAAAAGTCGAAGAAGGAACCTCAGAGATCCATACAGCCAAACAACAAAGCTGTCAAAGAGCTGGTTCCAGTTCATCTGTTATCTTTTTCACAATGCTACATGGTTTATGCTAAATCACAATCCTAAACCACAATATTATTGGGGAAACCAATTCCTACAGTTAGAAAACATTTGACTGATTACAGCATCTCCCAAGTTCTTATATTCCCTCTTTATCTTTGCAAACTACATGAGCATTGCAGAAAGAAAACAGTAGTCAATGTGCTAGCTGGCTTCCTTGAGAAGGACATTTAATTGGCTTTGATATTTTTCTTTGTCCAGTATGCTTTTCAGTTTGTGTATGTGTGTGTGTGTGTGTGTGTGTGTGTGTGAGAACACACACGTTTTCTTCTCTTTTTATGGTGCACTTCACTGACATATTTAATAGTCACTCATTTCCATTGCATGTTTACCATAACTTACAAAGTCAAATTGGAGGATTATATTGTATTTACAAACAAGTTGGCACTTACAGAATAAATTATTGATTCCTCTTTTTTTTTAATATTTTATTTTATTTTCCTTTTTTCTCCTCTTCAAATATTTTATTTTCCTTTTTTCTCCTCTTCTTTATCACCCGTGGGCATCCAGAATTCAGGCAGAAAGGTAAACCTGCTGCCTGCTGCCATTATGCT